TAACCTATTTTAGTACTAGGGCGATTTTTCCCTATTACTACTGCTGCTACGACTCGTACTGTCACTGTGGTGTTTGTACTGCTAGGTCTATATACTGAGAGTACTGGTAAGTGGCAGTGTTATTTCTATTTAACTGAGAGTGGGAGAGTGCAAGTACTATTAAAATAGAAATTCTGAAGACAGTAAGGCGAGAGCACACTAAAAGTACTACGCTAAAGGACAACAGTACGACAATGTAGTATCAGGCAGATACAGTAAGACAGAAGAACAGTCTAAATCAGTGCAACAGGAATAGGACAATATTAGTGGTGCTCGTAGTATAAGTGATAGTGGTAATACTAGCACAGCAGGTCTTTCCTTGTTTTCCGCCTTCTCAACTCTATCTACCAGGTTGTGTCATCTTATCGGTTAACGAGACGTTATTAAGCAGTAGCTCAAGTTCTACCATGCCGTGGTGCCACTTGTCGTTACCAGGCTAACTTTCTGACTTATTGCAGTATCTAACTTTGTGTTGAAGTTTAGGGGACGTTTCCTGTCTAAGAGGAGAGCAACCTGCTCCATAATCAACTAATATTGCTATATCCTATAGTTGATTCGAGAGCTGAGCAATAAGCAGAGCAGATGGGAATATAAGTTTACCACCCTTTTCCCGTCTTCATACGGTGATTGTGCAAGACACCCGGGTTCTCCCGCGGGCATGCAGTCTCTGTACGGGGCTGCAGATCAGCAGATACAGGCCGCATGGGAGTGCCATAGAGGCCACATTGAGAAGGAGCCACTGAGCCTAACTCTCAGCCCGCAGTAAACCACTCCACACGACAACACACACTGGGCGGACTAGGGTGTCAGAGTTATCCCGTCAGCTGGCAATCCTCCAAGCCACGGCTTTTGGCAGACTGTGATAGTTTCAAGCGCATCAATTCGTTTTTATTGCGGAAAGAAATGTGCTGAGGGTCTGTCGTGCTAATACTAGTCTGACTTTCGACCCCCCTGCCCTCTCACCCTCGTTGATTAATGTTCACCCATGCCCCTTAACGATCATTCACTAACTGCCTATATTACTCTAACCACTCTTTATCCCTTTTCAGTTCCTGTACGCCAATTATAAGATGAATAAGGCCCAACTACAGGGTAATCGCTAATTCTCTCTCCTCGACTGTTTGACTCGTACGTACTGACTCGACTCTATCTACTTCGATAACGACAGGGTCAACCTCACTCTTT